CTAGGGTGTGGGGACATTGTAATTGAGCTTTGATGGGAGTGAAAGTTAAGGTAATTGAACTATGGAAGTGGGTAGGAATTTGTAGAGAAATGTCTAAATTTGCAGATTAGACACAGGCTGGTATAGTTCTATTAAACAGATGATGAGATAAATTAGAATAAAGATAGGGTAAAATGAATGTGAATACTTTTGCAATATTCAAATGTTGTTATTCAAAGTAAAATTTATATAGCTTGAGACACACATAAGCATATACAATGTAGTATTTCAGAAGGATTTTGTAGCCAAGCAAAAAAAGATGAACTGCAAATGACAGAACTAAATATAATTGAAAGCTTAGATGCTATCAATCTGAACTGACACGTAAGTAAATCCACTCTGGAAGTTTGTGAAAAACAAACACTGGGGTCAGGCTATCAAAAATAACACATAGAAAACCACCAAAGGCATAGAATAATATGCACATAAAGAATTAGGCTTGTCAAATCATAGATTCAATCAGAGTTGAAATAATACTGTTAAATGTTAAATAGAGAATAAATAGTTAGGGAAACTGAAGTTTTCTCTAGATCCTGGAAAGATACTTATGATCATTATTCATATTTAAATTTTTCTGATAGGATCTACAGATTCCATTCAGCATGAAATTTTTCATGCTTTAACCTTCTGAAGAATTAATTCATCAAAGATTATTCCAAAAAACAATATATTCTAAATGACTGATAACTTACCTACAGCAATGAAACGTTATTAAACAAGCATCACCTATAGTGTTTGTGAACATAGTTGAAATTTTCACAAAGTGTTTCTTTCTTAATATTTTTCTTATTTTATGTTAGCTATGAAAATTCTTGTTTATTTGACATGATTGCTATTTTCAGTGTAATTGTTATATTCATGTGCATAGGAAAATATTGTGCTCCCTTAATATTTGGGAAAAATGGTCTTTTATGTGTTAAATTCTGTTAGTTATAAGACTGTAGTAGTAAAGATTTTGTGCTTCACTTAAAGAATACTAGCTTATAAACAATGTATGTTAAATAATATTGTAAATTTATATAAGCACACCTTCATTCCTGGGCTTCTAGAAGCATTGGCAGAGGCAGGTGAATCTCTGAGTTTAAGGCCATACTTGTGTATACACTGAATTCCAGGACAGTAAGACTTCCATAGAAGATTCTGTCTTAGGTAAATGGATGGATGGAGAGATAGATAGGTAGGTAAATAGATAGATAGATAGATATCAATAAATAGAAAAAGAACAGCAAAAGCCAATTGTATAAATGAAGAGGCTTGTAAGATGGCCTAGGTGAGAAAGCTCCTACTAAGCCTGAACATCTTGGTTTAATCTCTGATATCCACCCATTAGGAAAATAGAAGCAATTCTCTCTACTTATCACCTGACCTTCACATGTCTCTGTGCTATCTGTGAGCATCCCCCATGACACACAATGAAATTATTAAATGTTTATGAATTTGAGTTTATACAAAAAAGATAATTTATAGAGATAAAGGGTTAAGAGCAAAAGAAAGAAGAAAATTATGTTGTCAAATAGCATACGAAGACGTGTTTGTGTGTGGGGGTAAGTGGACAGGAATTATAATGGAAAAGGAAGCAATGTAAAGGAAAGAAAGAACAAAGAGTACAGAGAGATAATGGGTGAGATAGAGAAATTGTTTCAGGCTTTCATTTTGGAGAGAAAGACATGAGAGCACAGAAGGTAACAATTTGGGGGGTGGGGATAAAGGGCACCAGTAAGATGGATAAGTAAAGAAAAAAGAAAAAAATAAATTGTCAAATTACAATGAATACAACAAAGGAATCATCATGTGAAGTAAATGAATAAAATAGTTCAAGACCTGAAAATGCAAATAGATTCAGTAAAGAAAACACAAACGGAAAAAATCCTGGTGATAGAAAACTTAGGGAAGAGAACAGGAGCTACAGAGGTAAGCCTCACCAACAGAATACAAGAGATGGAAGAGGAAACAGAGGCTCAAAAGATACAACTGAAGAAATCAATACATCTGTCAAGAAAAATATTAAATTGAAAAAATTCATGACACAAAACATCCAAGAAATTGAAGACATGACGAAAAGACCTAATCTATGAATAATAGGAATAAAATGTGAAAAGTCCCAGCAATAAAATATTTTCAATAAACCAGAAAATATTTTCAATAAACTCAGATAAAAAAATTTCCTCAACCTAGAAAACAAAAAGAGAGAGAGAGAGAGAGAGATGCCTTTAAACTTACAAGAGGGTTATAGAACACCAAATAGATTAGGCCAGAAAAGAAATTCTTCCTGCCACATAATAATCAAAACCCTAAATGTACATAACAAAGAAAATATATTAAAAGCTGCAAGGGGAAAATGTCAAGTAACATATAAAAATAGATTGATCAGAATCACACCTGACTTCCCAACAGAGACTATGTAAGCCAGAAGGGCCAGGACCGATGTTATGCAGACACTAAGAGGCCACATATGTCTGCTGAGACTACTACGCACAGCAAAAAAATTTCAATTACCATAGATGGAGAAAACAAGATACTCCACGTCAAAATCAAATTTAAATAATATCTCAGCACAAACCCAGCCCTTCAGAAGACACTGGAATATAATTTCCAACTGAAGTTTAACTGCACCCAATAAAACACAGCATATAAATAAATCCACTGCAACAAAGCCAAAAGAATACAAGCACATGAACACTATGACACACAACATTAAAATAAAAAGAACAAACAACCATTGGTCATTGACATCTATCAACATCAGTGAACTCAAACTCTCCAATAAAAAGACACACATTAAAAGAATGGATACCGGTATATACTCACTCATATAGACATACAACATAGGACAAACCCACTAAAATCTGTGCATCTAAAGAAACTAAGCAAGAGAGAGAACCCTAACTAAAACAGTCAATCCCCATCCTGAAAGGCAAAGAGGATGGACATCAGAAGAAGAAGAAAACAGGAAACAACCTAGGAAACTGCTACAGAGGGCCTCTGAGAGCCAGAAGAAGAAAACAGGAAACAAACAAGGAACCTACCACAGAGGGCCTCTGAAAGCCTCTGCCCTGCAGACTATCAAAGCAGATGCTGAGCCTGATGGCCAACTGTTGGGCTGAGTGAATGGAATTTTATGTAAGAAGTGGGAAATAGTAAGAACTGGAGAGGACAGGGTCTCCACAAGGAGAGCAACAGAACAAGAAAATTTGAACACAGGGAACTTCCCAGAGACTCATACTTCAACCAGGGACTATTCATGGAGATAACCTAGAACCCCTGCACAAATGTAGCCCATGGCAGTTCAGTGTCCAAGTGGGTTACATAGTAATGGGAAGAGGGACTGCCTCTGACATAATCTGATTGGCCTGCTCTTTGATCACCTTTTTCTGAGGGGGGAGCAGTCTTACCAGGCCACAGTAGAGGACAATGCAGCCACTTTTGATGAGAACTGATAGACTAAGATCAGAAAGGAGAGGAGAACCTCCCCTATCAGTGGACTTGGGGAGTGGCATGCATGCAGAAAGGGGAGGAAGGGTGGGATCAGGAGGAGAGGAGGGAGGGGCTTATGGGGGGATACAAAATGAATAAAGTGTAATTAATAAAAAATTAAAAAAAAAGCTAACCGCTAAGTTCATGTCAGAGACAGTCCTTATTCCCCTTACTAGGGAACCCACTTGGATACTGAGCTGCCATGGGCTACATTGGAACAGTGGTTCTAGGTTATATCCATGCATGGTCCTCAGTTGGAGAATCAGTCTCAGAAAAGACCCCTATCAGTGGACTTAGAGAGGGTCAGGGAGGCGATGAGGGAGGGAGGGTGGGATTTGGAGAGAATGAGAGAGGGGCTACAGCTGGGATACAAAGTAAACAAACTGTAATTAATATGAAAATAAAAATTTAATTAAAAAATGGATACCTAAACATTCTGTTGCATACAATAAACACTTTATAAGATAGGATTTATCTCAGAGAGAAGAATTGGAAAAAGGTTTTCCAAGCAAATGGATCCAAGACCCAAGCTGAAGTAGCCATACTAATATTTAATAAAATAGACTTTCAACCAAAATTAATCAAAAGTTGTGGGGAAGTACGTTTCATTCTTATTAAAGGAAAAATACACCAAGACAACATCTCAATGCTCCATATACAAGGGCATCCAAATTTGTAAAAGAATCATTATTGAAGATTAAAACACACATTTATCCCACTCATTAATAGTGGGAGACTTCAACACTCATCTCTCAGCAATGGACAGATCATTAAGACAGAAATTAAATAGAGAAATAATAAAACTTACATAAGCCATGAACCAAGTGGACCTAAAAGATATCTACAGAACTTTTCACCCAAACACAAAAGAACATACCTTCTTCTAGGCACTTCATGGAAGTCACAAAGCGAGCCTTTTATTAAACCATTGGATCGATTCAGAATACTAAGTTTTTGATACTATGCTTTATCACATTTTAGGAAGCCCTTAAAGCCATGTGTGATTTTTACCTGTAGCTTGTTGTTTTGATGATGCCATCAGTTTATTTAAAATACCATGTCATGACCACTTTCCCTATGCATTTTTAGATAATCATGTTTGTAAAAAAAAAATGTAGTGTTGCAGCCATAAAAGCACAACATATAAAAATAGGAAAGAAAATTTCAATAGGGGTTTTGTAGTCAAAGCATGTCCTTTATGTTTGTAAATATAAACTATAAATAGGATAAATCTGAGAGAAATGTAAAAAGTTAATCTGTTTTGGTGAGAAATCACTATTTTATTAGTATATAAAATGCAAAAAGTAATAGAATTTTAATTCATAGATACTCAGTTTAATTTATATTTTGGAATGGAAAATTGGATCAGTCAATTGAAGCTCAGAATCTACAATAACCTTAAAGCAATTTATTGTTTTTCAAAAAGAAAATCCAATAAGCACATGAAAAACAGAATGAATAAAGGCTTTCTTATTTGTCTTTCTCAGGGTCCAAGTTTCCTCTCTGAGGCCATTTTTCCTAAACATGCAAGAAAAATTGAAGAAATGGATCCATCTTTCAACCTCCATGAAGCCTTTACTAAGGTGGGAATGCCTCTTTGATGTTACAGGTAGAATGAGAAAGTGTTCTTTTTGTTGTTGTTTGTTTATATGTCTGAGGTAGGTAGAACGAAAGAGAAAAATCAGCCAAGAGAGTGCTTTTCTAAAGAGTATAGGTGAAAGCAAAAGTGTTTGGTAAAGAGATAATAAAATCATTCAAGATGCAGCCTGTGACACAAGATTTATGACAAATCAATCCTCAAGAAAGCGATGAATTTTTGTCCTTAATCTGAAATTAAGTTTGTCTTTCATTTTAAATAGACAGGGACTTCAAAGATGATTGTTTAAAAACTGAATCTTCTAACTTATCCAGCCAAACGTTTATTTTGATATGTTCATTTATTGCACTTTTAATTATTTAATTTTTGTGCATATATATATGTGACCCATGGGAATGCACATATAGCAGTATGTGGCCATGAAGGGTAAATAGTAACGTTCTTTTTTAATTTTTAAATTTTATTAATTTATAACAGTTTATTCACTTTGTATCCCTCTTGCAGCCCCTTCCCTCTTCTCCTCCCAGCCCCACCCATCCTCCCTCTTCTCCCCCTATGCCCTTTCCCTAGTCCCCTGATAGGGGAGGACCTCTGCCCCTTCTATCTGACCCTAGTTTATCAGGTCTCATCAAGGCTGGCTGCATCATCTTCCTCGGTAGCCTGGAAAGGCTGCACCCTCCAAGGGGAGTAATCAAAGAGTCATCCACTGAGTTCATGTCAGAGACAGCCCCTGTACCTCTCACTAGGGAACCCACTTGGAAACTGAGCAGCCAATGGGCTTCCTTTGAACAGGGGGATCTAGGTCCTCTCCATGTATGGTCCTTGGTTAGAGTATTGGGTCTCCGCAAACTCCCCTGGGCCCAGATATTTTGGCTTGTTCCACTTATGAAGTTCCTGACCCCTCCAGGTCTTTCTATCTCCTTCTTCTTCTATAAGGATTCCGGCAGTCTTCCCAGGGTTTGGCTATGATTCTCAGTATCTCCTTCGATACCCTAGTGGGTAGAGTCTTTCAGAGGTCCTCTGTGGAAGGGAGCTTTCAGAAGTTATTTGTTACTTGCCTCCTTTTTATTTTTTATTTTTATTTTTTGAAATGTATTCACTTACATCCCGATTGTGGCCCCCTCCTTGTCCCTTTCTGGTCCCATCCATTCTTTCCCATATTCTTCAGAAAGGGAGAGCCATCCTCCCCTACAAACTGACCCCAGCTTATCAAGTCTCATCAGGACTGCCTGCATCCTCTTCTTCTGGGGCCTAGAAAGGCTGCCTGCCAAGACTGCGGTCAAAGAGCAAGCAACAGAGTCCAGAGTCCATGTCAGAGACAGCCCCTGCTCCCCTTACTAGGAGCACACGTGGAGACTGAGTTGCCTATCTACCGTTTCTGAGCAGGGTGTCTTCGTCCTCTCTATTCATGGTCCTTGGTTTGTGAATCACTCTCCTGACCACCCTGTAGGCCCATATTTGTTGCCACTGTTGGTCTCCTTGTGGAGCTCCTGTTCCTTCTGGGTCCTTCTATCCCCTTACTCTTCCATAAGACTGCATCTACCCAAAGTTTGTCTGTGAGTCCCAACATGTGTTGGATCTCCTGCTGGGTGGAGTCTTTTATAGGACATCTATGTTAGCTCCCATCCTGTTTCCTCTCTTTAAATGCTTCGGATGTCTATTTGCCTTTTTGGATGAGAATTAAGCATCCTCCCTAGAGTGCTGTTGGTTGCTGAGCTTCCTTATGTCCGTGGATTGATGTATGGTTATCCTGTATTATATGGCTAAAATCTGCTTGTGAGTATATGCCATGCTTGTCTTTCTGGGTCTAGGATGCCTCCCTCAGGATGATCTTTTACAGATCCATCCTTGTACCTGCAAATTTCATAATTTTGGTGCTTGCCATCTACCATGTAGGTTCAGGGTATGAAACTCTAGATGTTAGGCTTGGCAATAGACACATTTACTCACTGACCTAGCCACTTTACGGTTTCTGTTTATTATGTAGTTTAGTTCCAGTAACAGAAGGGCTTGCTTTATTAGGTAAAGGACTCCATTTATAATAAGGCACATTTCTACTGTGTATTTTAGTCATAATTTTATTATTTGAAGAAAACTAATTTTTCCAGTGTGGAGAAAATAAATTTATTGTTCCTGTTATCAAATGGCACCCTATGAATTTTTACATTTCCAAATTATTTATTTAGCCTGTCAAACCTGCCTCTTGAGGATAGAGTTTGCAGAGTATATTGATATTTCAGTACCATTAAAGTAATCTATATTTATATATGCTTACTAAAAATATTTTATCATCCTTAAATCTTAGCAAAATGTGACAGAGTTTTCTTCTCCTTAAAAGGAGGAAGAGTGGTAAAGTGAGCTAGCCTCAACATGTGGTCATCAAATAATCTCAGCTTTCAAAGCCTGGGAGTATATATCTGTCTATGATAGTTAAAAACTACATAAATTTAGTTTTTGAACCTTTAAAATAAGTGAAGTTTGAATTACAATCTGCTTAAAATTCTTCTAACCTCATAATATTGATCATGTTTTCCTTTACAATCAACTCCAGTTGCCTGAATTCATTTTTAGTACTTTCCTCTACTTATTATATATTATTATTTATTTGTATATAACTAAAGAAATGTTGCCACCAAGTACTACCTTAGCATTTAAAATATTAGCTCCATTTCTGATACTTAGAGATTATATATGTCTTACACACACACACACTCACAGATGCATATAAATAAGAGCATACAAATGAAGATATTGGACTTTGAATGGATTTTTAGACACATTTGCATCTGTATATATATATCTGTATATATATACATATGCATTATATTCACTTAAAAATCTGTGTACTTAGTGTACATTTGTTATTTTTTTTAGTTGTGAGCCTAGCCATTATTGGCTGAACCATCTCTCTAGCCCTACATTTGTTATTTTAAGCAAAAAATGATAGGATCATAAAAATGATGGAATCATATATTTTTAAAATTTTTCTCTATATTAATTAGAGAAATCAAAAATTTTTCGTGAAAGAGAAAATTGAGACTGTATTGACATCAGACAAATAATGAGTTAGTACTATAGTGGAAGAAATTTCCAGACACAGAAAATGCCAGCCCTTATTTTAGAGGATGAGTGAACACTGATTCTCAGTAGCTGAGAGTTTTGCTACACACAAAAACTAGAACTTTGGGGAGCACTTTGGGAAGAAATAGGTGAGCAAACAAGGGACCATAGACAGGCTGAATATTTACAATGTTCAATGTAGTACAATGTTACAATGGAGTACAATAGTACTCCATGTGCTATTGAGGTGAGAAATTGTTAGAAAATTACACCTTTCCTTCTTTTGTGTCTTACATGTGTTTTCAATTATATTTGTTACTAAATACATTTTTATTAAATATGATACACTAAATACTTTTTTCATAACGGAGTATTGGACACAATTCCTTACCTTGGAGTAGTCATAAACAACCTAAGTACAAAGCTTAGAGTTCTCTGAATGTTTTCACAACTTTATATCCTCACCGAATGTTAATTCTCCTTCCAAAATCCTCAGAGTTCCTGCATTCACATTGCAAACATAGACCAAGGGAAGAAATTGTACTTCTGGATTTAAGTCTTACATAATTAATAGCAGGAATGGGGAGCTCTAAAGAAACTATTTAATATTATGTGACTTGATTTTAACATCCAGTTTTTAATCATTGTAATCAACAAAAAACTACTTTGTACATGTAAAATGACTTAACTGTAAGAGATAGCTTAGAAATGTAGATCGTGAATTTTGTTCTAGTATACCTAGAAAAATCTTAATATTTTACATTTGAACTTCATTTTATTATCAACACAGAAAATAATAAAGTCATGATATTGATTCTCCCTCTGAATCTGAGATAAAAAAGAATGATGAAGTGTTTTAGTAACAAATTTGATATTTGTAACAATAAAACTTAGGGACCTAATGTCTTTAAGGAAAATTATTTACCTGTGTTTTCTGAATTATAATTGTATGTTAGGGCAAAGCAAACAAACAAAAAAACAAAACCAGCATCTCTCTAGTGTCTTTCTCTGTATCTTGTTATAATTTATGGCTTATGAACATGAAAAAAATAAAGATAATTAAACAAATGCTGGTGATAGGAATATAAATTTTAATGTGTGAAGAATTGAGGCTGTCAAAATACTGTATTGGCAAGAGGTTTGACCACAAACGTGTCACCAACTACCATTCCACATAGCAGTGTGTCATTTTAAAAATGACACTAATCTGAATTAAGAAACAGAAATATATACATATTATCTTTTCTCTATGAAAAATTCTACTGAGATAGAAGAGATGCTACATAAATTAAAATAGATGATTAGTATTTGTTTAAAATATTGTTTAACATGAAGAGTCAATATACAATATTTGCCAATACTGTAGTATTCTTGTGATTCTGTATGTAATTGCAATTTTCAGGGTTCATGTCCTAAGTCCTTCCAGTCAAGGTTAATTTTCACATAGTACTGACACAAGAGATAATGATGGTTAATATCTGTGACATAATCGATTGTCCTCAACAGCAAGTAACTATTTTCATTTTAGAGCTTTTCTAAAGAACACAAATGTATCTTTTTTTATATCTCTTATATCAACATAAATTTTCTGCATACTAAAATTTTCTACATACTATTTATGTTTGTTGCTTTTATGCATTTAACGAATATTTCAAAATCAATAAGCTATCTCCATACATGTTATGTGAATTGAGTCCTTGAAAGCTGGTCTTCTGTGCTGTCCTCTAAGGTTTATTTTTCTCTATGTTTGAATCTTTCTTGGCATTTTTATTTTTGATATAAAGCACAGGACCTAAGAAAATAATGAATGAGACTTAGTATTGATGCCAAGATGTGTAATCCATCATGGCCTCAGCTGTCAGGTGCTGCTGTGTGAAGCTGCTGAGGGGTGACACGCGCTGCCTGATGGTGGAGAGGCTCCTCTGA